GATACCGGGCTGTTTCAATCCCTGTTGTATACTGTATCTATGGTTGCAGCAGGGTTGCGGTGGTGTAGTGGAGAGGCTGTCTGGATTGCACGAATGGGGTCAGCGGTTCGAATCCTGTCGGGACTATTGACTAAAACTATGCTGAAATGTTTGATTTTTTTTTCTTTTAATCACTTTTTACTTTTTTTAAAAAATAAACACTCTCTCGTACATCTTAGCCTCCGGGGTCGTAGGGTTGGGATTGGGGTTTAGCGTTTAGTTTTTAGAGCACCCTCTCGTACATCTTAGCCTCCGGGGTCGTAGGGTTGGGATTGGGGTTTAGTGTTTAGTTTTTAGAGCACCCTCTCGTACATCTTAGCCTCCGGGGTCGTAGGGTTGGGATTGAGGTTTAGTGTTTAGTTTTTAGAGCACCCTCTCGTACATCTTAGCCTCCGGGATCGTAGGGTTTTGGGATTAGGGTTTCTTGATAAAAAAAGACTAAGTTCCATTTTGCACTATTGCGCATGCGCACAAACTGTTTTACGGAGAACAACGGACTGCCGGATCTATAGCCCCGCAGTAGGCGTCCGGCTGCCGGACCAATATCCACTTCCAATTCCTAAAGGGCGAGGTGAGACTACAAATTCCCATAAATTAGAAATCTCCAAACTCCAGGACACTGTTCTATAAATACAGGCATATGTGCCCTCTTTCTACTATCTCTGCTGCAACTCTTTTTACCAATGTAAGTATTTTAAATTACAGTTTCATTATTATGTACTTCAGAATCTCATTGCTAGACTACTAGTTTTGAAATGTGTTTCAGTCTTTTTGCACAACTGAATGCACCATTGGTCCATGCTATGATCACAGTGCTTTTGAGAACACTGACTGTTAATGCTTGCATTAATTTATTGGCAGTGCCTAATTTATTGGCAGTGCCTAATTTATTAGTAAATGTGTTACATATTGGCCGAGACTAGTCTAACTAATCTGCCTGAGTGAGTATGTTAATGATTTAATTATTGTTTAGCTCTGATCATCAATGGCTGAGAGAAATGAGAGGAAGAAGACTAAAGGATCAAAAGGGAACGAAGGAGAGGAATGGACTGATGGTTCTAAACAAAAAGGAGGAGGAGGGGAAAAAGATCAGAAGAGAACAAGATTAGGTGGAGCTGCTCATTATGTACACAAGCGAGTAAAAGGACAACCAAAATCAACACCTAAGAAGAAAGAAGGAAAGAGTGATTCATCTAAATCTTACTATGGGGCTCCAGCTCCACCTCCTCCTAATATGGAATCCAAAGAATCTCAACAGCCACAACGATCAATATGGACTCCAACTCCATGGGAGAAGACCCCACCCAGTGATGCTAAATCCACTGATTCAGTACAACAAATGGTATCAGCATTAGGAACAGTTATACCATCAACAGAAGAGACAGAATCTGATGATATTGTACTATCAACGTCTGATGGAGCTACTCCTCCAGGTCCTACTTCAATGAAATATGATGATGATCATAATAATGCTGATAAAGTAAATATATTTCACTATTTGCATGTGTCTGCTCTGTGTAAATTAGCTCCTTGAAATGTCATTTTAGCATCAATTTTATCAGTAAAATCCTAATTTAGTTTCAGTTTCATTATTTAAATATAAACATGAAGAACATGAAGAAAAGTAGTATGTAAAGTATCATGGGCTCCCGATAATATCTACCGTATAGCTCTTAATTTTCGTCAGTCAAAAATTTCGTCAAAATCTTAATTTTGTGCTAAAATTAATTTTCGTCAATAAAATTTTTGTCATTTTTGTTATTAATCCGCATACTACCCACGTGGAACAAAAATTTCGTTGGTTAAAAATTTTTTCAAGCAAAAGTACCTAACGAATTTGATGAAAATTTTGACCGACAAAAATTTGGAGCTATACGGTAATTATATCTTTAATCTTTATGGGTGTGGTCTGTACAGCTAGCCACACCTACAGGATTTCTCATCAACCCATCATTTTTTTCTGGTTTTTTGAGGTTTTTGATAGAACGTAAAAACCATGACTCCTATGTCTTGCTCTGAGCTACAATAATAGTGTGTGTCAGAGATTTCAGTATTCAATTAATGTAATCATGGAATATTGTAGGTTTTTAGGATGGCTGAAGGAAGTGCTAGCCAGAAGGAGGCCAATGATAAATCAAGTTCTGATTGGGACTGGCCAACTACTACTTGGTCTACTGATGCAACATCAAGAATTTCAACTTCAAACCATTCCTGGACAGACACTAGTAAAGTTTCTTTGTCGAGCTCGAAATTTAAAGCTCTCCCCGACCAATTCAAACAGCCTACAAGATCTAGTAGCATTGCTGCCGGTGGTAATAATAGAAGCACAAAAATTCCGCAAGTAAGCTTAATTATCCTGATCACTGTTTGACTTGAGCTTTTTTCACTACCACACCTGTCTGATACTTTTTACAATTATTAGGAAAATGACAAACTAACTATTCAACATTTAGAGGGAAAAATTGAATTTCTCCAAAAAAGATTGGAAGCAGAAGAACACCTTGATAAGAGAACTATTTTCAAGGGGCGTATTAAAGAGTTTCAGGAAAAATATGAGAAGTTGAAAGCTGAGGAAGTGACATTACAGCTAGCTGAAGCAAGTGAAGATATTAATCTTGAGAGACAAAGAGTAGAAAAACTAGAAGAACAAGTTAATGAAAATCAAAAAGAATTAGAAAGAATCAAGAAAGAAAAAGTAGCTAAAGTCAGTGAACTAGAAGAGAGAGTTCGACAATATAAGAAAAGATTAGAAGAGCAAGAATTAGCTACTGATGCAGCACGAAGTGAAGTGGAATTTCTAAAAAAAGAAGAAGATAGATTAAAGAAAGAAAATAAAGAATTGAAGAAAGAATCAAAGAAGACAGCTATTCAATCAGCACAACGAATCGAAGAACAAGAGAAAGAGTTTATGGAGACAGAGAGATGGGAAATTAAAGCACTTACTAGAGACATTGAGCACTCAAGAGCAGAGCTTAAAAAGCAAGAAGATGATTTTAAATCTCAATTAAAAGAAAAAGAAGATGAAATTTTAAGGTATATGGAATACAACCTACATGTATTTATTATTGTTATTCCAATGATACAGGGTTTCTAATCAACGTAATGAGCAACAGGCAAAGTCTGAAGCTTGTTCAAGTGAAATAGAGCGACTACAAAGAAATTATGATGCTGACATGGAGAAGTTGAAGGTAGCAATCAAGAAACAACATAATATAGAGTCTACTCTAAGAAGTGAATTGAAGGAGCTACTGAACACTATTACAAAAATTGAAACTGATAAAAGATTGGTAAGGAAATTTATAATTTTGTGCCTTTTCTATTGTTTTTTAATTACAGGAATTAGAAGAACTCAAGGTTTTATTGTTAAAATAATTATTATGATACTCATATTTTTGATAGAAAAAGCATGATGAAATTGGAAAAAAACTTGATGGACAAGAGAAAGTGGTTGATAAACAGAAACAAGTAAATCATTTATTTTTATTTATTTATTATTGTTATTAATTTTGTTAGGATATTGAGACTTTGCAAGTTACTAATAAAAAGCTCACTGAAGATGGAATAAATAAAGAAAGTGAAGTACAAGACACCAGGGATCAGTTACAGAAAGTGGAGGATAAGCTTGCCAAAAATATGGAAGAGAAAGATGAAGTGATAGCTAGTCTACAACAAGTGGTTGAAATAAGAAGTGAAACAGTGTCTCAGATGAAGCAAGCACTTGATCAACAAATGATGAGGGCTAACAAACAATTGGAAGCTAAACAAAAGCAGATTGACGAACTAGTTGAGAAATTACAAGTGGAAAAAGCAATGGTATGTACGTGTAAATTTCATAACTTTAGTTACTGTATAGCCACAAAGTTTCAACGCAATAAACTTTCGCGAATCAGGCCACAAGTCTTTTTTCGCAAATTAACTTTCGTGGTTCTTATTTTAAAGCACACGTGTTTATGGGCAATACAGATAATTTTACGGAATTAACCTTCGTGAATATGAAAGTTGTACCCTTGAAATTAAGCAGCTATACAGTATTACCGTATAGAGGGTATATTTCCCAGGGAAAATATTTCACGAAAATGACCTTTTAACCTATTCACAAGAAAAAATTTTTGCATTTTTCTTCTACTGACCATTATTAGTATGATAAAAATAATTTTCATAAATAAAAATTTTCACGAATTTTTTAAAACCATGAAATTAGCAAAATTAAATCTCCGTGAAATATACCCCTATATGATATCATTCATTTTAGAGTGCGATATACAAGCATGACTTTGAAACTGAAAGAAATGACCAGCAGAAGTTACATCAATCATTTATTGATTTGCAAGCTCACTGTGAGTATTTGAAACAGAAATTAACTGAAGAAGAGAGGTTTATCAATGCACAAGGAAAGTATCATGAATTGCAAAAACATGTGAGTTTTGCCTGTATGAACTATTTTTATTTTGTCTTTATAGGAACATTACAAACTCATTGCACCTATGACAGATGAAGTAGAAAAAACAAAAGGAGAATTAATGAAAGCAAAAGAACAACTTTCTAGCTTAACTAAGGAAAAGAAAAGACTGGAAAAAGTATTAATCAATAATTTGAAATGTAAATTTTATTTGAAATAGAGAATCAAAGAATTGGAACAAGGAGAGACAGAGAGAGTGATAGAAATAGAGGAAGAGATGCAGGCTCTAATGACACAAGTCAATGCTTACAGTCGGGAGGTGGATAAACAGAAAGGATTAGTGGCCCAGAGTCAAGAGAAACACAAAACTGAGGTATACGCAGATTGCCCACATAAATGAGTTGTTCATTTTTTGTTGTTAGGTCATTCAACTACAGGAAAAGCTAAAACGTGAAATGAAATCTAAGGTATTTATTTCTTTCTTTTTCATAACTCTACAACATAGAAAAATTGTTGATAAAAGCAACAACTGTCATATCAAACATTGTTTGAGCACTATGCCTGTATAGTTGATTGGGGAATAGAAAAGCAATGTATATGATACCTTCAATGACATTTAAAAGTGTAATATCCTACATTTGCATTTCTCTAAAACTAGTGAATTGTGTGTGTGTGTGTGCGTGTGTGTGTGTGTGTGCGCGCAGTGTGTGTGTGTGTGTGTGTGTGTGTGTGTGTGTGTGTGTGT